ATCTTAATCTATTTATTAACTGATCTTTTTAATCAGTGCCTTCTCCAAATACACAGAATTTATATTTAATTCATAATGCTAAATTTTTGTTTTTTAGGGAATTTTCCCGCGAGCCAATCTTTATATTTCATGGATTGCGTAGGCCTAGTTAGGTGTTACTGCATATTTAAAGAAAATATTTTGAAATCTAGAAAACTAATAGAAATTGTTTAATGATCTTCGTTATCAAGGTCTGCTCTATGTGCGAAGGATTCTGTGTAAAAAAAATAAAATATATTTGTTTTGTATTTAATCTTTTCACGAATGCCAATATTTTTTTTTTTTTAAATAAATTAACTTACTAGAAATAGCGGTTACTACATTCTGTAACTCAATATTTACAGATCTCGTAAACTAATGAAGACTTCTTCAGTGATTTTTCAAATCAGAGTCTCCCCTGTATGCATCGATTCTTTCAAATATATAAAATTCACAAGATGTACATTTAAAACTGAACCAAATATTTGCTTTTTATTTAATTTGCGAGTTTAATTTGGAATCTGGATCTTTTTAATGTTTACATTACCTTTATCATAATAATACTATTAAGGGCTAAAATTAGTGAGTTACTAATTTTTGCAATTAAACATTCTGAGATCTTAAAACTTATATAGCTAAAATTTATTATTTCAAAAATTTGCCCCGGCTACATCTACATTGAAGTTCTGTGAAATTGACATTTTGTATGGTGGAAAAATTTGATTCGTTCTTAAAAACTTTGTGTTACAAAATATTTATTAATATATTTTCAATATATATTCACTATATTTTCAATATATTGGCAAATTTAAGATAACCATATCTTAAAAGTTATAATTTTTGTGTCACATCTTTTCCATTATCAACAAAACAAATTTACAATCAATAATTTCCCATTACTCTGTGCATTCATTCTTATTAGTATTACTCCATTATTAAATGGTCTCTTGTTATGGTTGGTATGGCCAGGATTCTTTCATGATTTTCATCACAAAGTTGAAAAATAATCAAACTTTATTGATTTTATAAGTTCATCTCTCAAAACTTTGCATTATTTCGGCATGGTCTTTTGCACTTGCCTATTTTCGCATGCCAATGGGATAGAAATGGGATCTTTCCTTTATCCATTATTTAGATTGTTTGCATTTCTCTCTCCCGCTGCGATCGAACATTCCTCATTCGTCGCTTCGCATTCAGTATTTCGTATTTTATATTCTGAAATGGCACTGGATCGACTGAGTGAAGTTCGTTGAACTCGATCAAAGCTTTCGTCTTGTAAACACTGGGTGTTCCAAAGCGATCCGAAGCGATCTCTAACGCGTTTCCGTCGTTGACCTCCTCGCATATTACGTATACGCTCGAGGAGATACTAGAGAGAGGGAGAGATAGAGATAGAGGTAGAGAGCGAGATGACGAGTGCGTGAGCGGTACGGACTGGGTGACTAACCCACTGCAGTGCCAATTAGAACAAACGGCGACAAGTTCAATGCGATCATTTCGCCTTCGCAGTCGCAGTCGCAGTCGCGTTTTTCTGTTTTCAATTTCAGTTTTCTGTTTTTTCTGTTTTTGCCTGCTAACTGCCGCCTTCGACGTCGACGTTACGCCGAGAGGTTGTTGTCGAGGTCTCCGTTTCCAGCACCTAGAGGTTAATGCCGGTTGTAATTGCAAAGCACCCAATCCCAATCCCTATCGCGAACCCCATCCCAAGCCCAATCCCCGAACCCAAAACCCAAACCCACACAGAGGAAATTCTGACGTTCTCATCTGAGTTGAAAATGTTCTTGAAAATAGAACAACATTTATGAAATTGAAAATGTTTTTATTTTGCTCGAATCAAGTTGAATTGCCGGTATTTACATTGTATATGTATCTCAACAAATAAACGATTAATCCAGTCAGTAGTGTATAATTATCCAAAAGTTGTTAAATAAACTCAATTTAACTTTTCTCTTCTCAACATTTCGTTCTAATATTGAGAAAATTGATACCAAAATTTACACGGTTTTTAAGAAGGAATTTTCTTAATTCAAGAAAAATGTACTTGAATATTTCCCTCTGTGCAACTACCAACCACCAACAAAGGAGCGAAGCTTAGAGATACAGTGGTCCCTGGCCGCGCAACTCTCCTTTTTTCCCGGCTAATCTGTGACTCGGTGACATTTGCGGTGATCTTGAAACAGCCATAAACCGAACTGCCTCTCACAGTCGCCGCAATAAAGACATTATAGATACATATGAATAGTACGTGTATGAATCGGCAAGAGGTCACCGCAGACAGAAAACAACATTAAAAACAATTCTTGAAAAATGCTAGCCTAAGTGCGAGACCAGCAGAATTAAAAAATCAAAATCGCCACGCATGAATCTAAAAAAAAAAAACCGAAAAAAACCGAAAAAAACCCAAAAAAAAACCCACAAAGCGACAACAACATGAGGATGCAGCAGTAAAATAAAAACGCAGCAAAAACAATGAACAGAAACTCAAAAAAAAAAAAAATGGGCAAACAAGATGCAAGTGGCAACAAGTTTCTCAGTCTCAGTTGCTCAGTTTCTCCTCAGGGCCAGCAAATCTTCGCTCCGCAGTCTTCGCTCTGCAGTCTTCAGTCTTCAATGCGTGCCAGAAGAAGGGTCGAAGGGTGGAAGGGAAAGGGAAAGGGAAGACGGAAGGCAAGGGAATCTGGGTTATGGCAAACAGGGGGACCCACAGCCAGAGCCATGTAATAAAATGCGGTAATGGTAACCAAAATATTAAACAAGTCTTCGGCAACATCAGCAGAAATTGCAGTTTCAGAAGGGCCTGAAAACAAATGCGAAAACAGGCCGACTCTTGAAAGAGTTTCTGACTTTGGGTTTGGGTTTGGCGTATGTGGGCTACACTTTCAATTGGAACCTCCAAAAGAAATGGGAGGGAGGGGGTTGCAATGGGGGTTACGAGCCGAAGATGCACGACGTCGTTTTTTTTTCTCTCCCCGCTGAACTGATAAACGCTACGATCGCAAGTTTGTGTGCGTGTTGTATCTTTCTTGCTTTTAGAGTTACATAGGGCGTACAGCGAAAGTTCCCGGTTCCCTTTCCCCAAACCCCGAACCCCGAACCCCTTTCCCTTTCCTATCTCCCCCTATTTACAGCAGCCCAAACATATTGCCATTTCCAATTATATTTGTGTGTGTGGGCGGGCGCTCGTTGATTCGCTCGTCATTTCCCCCGAATTTTTTGGTCGGCCTGTGTGACAATGAATAAACAAAACTTCTAAATGGGCAATACCAGAAAATACGAATGCAAAATGCTACAAAAAAGTGCAAAAAATGTATGAAACAACAACGGAAAAAAAGAGACAACGTAATACAACACATATATGTAGAACCCCCGAAAAAAACGCAATTTTCGGCCGCTTTCGGCTTCGCTGCCGTCGTCGCATGCGCAGAAATTTAGCTCGTTTTTTTTTGGCGACAGCGCTGCAAACTGCGCTGTAACTGCAGCGATCGGTTCGCGGATCGCAGATCGCTGCTGTCGACGTCGCTGCACTCCAAAAAAAAAGCGAAAGAAGCGCACACACAATCGCACACGAGAAGTATATAACAAAAAAAAAAAAAAGGCGAGCAAAAGGCAAAAAACGTATAAAAAGTAAAAAGCAAAAATGCAAAAAGCGAATGAAACATACAGGCGGCATTAAGTATACACACACGCACACACTCTCCCAGGGAATTCTCTGATTCAATTGGGCAGGCACACACACAGGCACACTCTCAAACACACTCACCAACACAACAACACAACAACACACCAACACACACACACGCACACCGGCAGAGGGCAGCGGCACAAGCCCAACACATTTAACTGCATTTTTTCGGAACTCAGTTGAGCTTTTTAATTCGATCGGTTCAGTTACTAAAGTTAGTTCAGCCTAAACGCACAATTTCAATTTCCATTTCTAAATTTGAGCTCGAATTGAATAGCATTAGTGCAGCACCATCTTCTACAACCCTAAAGATACCATCCCACATACGAGGATTTGGACAGTCCTTTCTATATTTTTTTGTGTGTTTTTTTATCAAGTGCATCACCCATTAGCAAAGACCCAAAAGACCTTAAAGACCCAAGAGATCCCCTAAAGACAAGGCACCCAAGTGCTCCAAAAAAAACCATCCCGTGCGCGATTCGCGCGCGATTTGCATCCAAATAATCTGACCTAAAATCAGGAGCGAAGAAAGCGGAAGAAAGCCAGCCCCAATAATAATTCTCAAGTGAATAATCAGTGTGCCTATGGAGCGCCGCCATGGCAGCCGCCAGGTAAGGGTCACCGTTACCGTTTCCCCAATTCTTCTCCGGGAGAATCAACGGGAGAATCCCTTCTCAGATACAAAATTTGGAGGGGGAGGAGAGATCCACATAGATACACACTGAAATTTGATTCGGATTCGCCATAAGAAGGACATTTGACTCATACGATGCAGCTGCTCTCCTTGGCTGTCCCTCATTAGCACTTTGATGGAGAGTCAGAAGAGCCAACCCCCCCCCCCCCCTCACAATTTTTTTAGCCTTCGAAAAATTTCGGTGCATCTGCATACAAAGACACAACCTTACAGATACAGATGCACTGCAGGAAGCAGGGCACAGCACAGTAGCCTCTTTCTACCTCTTTCTACCCCATCCCTTCTTCAATTCTCCGCTGCATTGTTCGTCTTCTCCGCCATTCTTCGCTTCTTCGGCTGCAGTCAGTCGGAATCGGAATCGAAATCGGAATCGGTATGGGAATCGGGATCGCTATGGGGTATCGGTACGGGGTATCGGTACGGGGTATCGGCATCGGAGTGAGACGCTTCGTGAAGCTCACGGCCAAGGCAAAGGCAAAGGCAAAGGCAAAAGGCAGGGCAGCTGAGGATCTGCACTCGGCTCCGCTCACGAAGGCCAGTTGAGCAGCAGGGTTCGGGAAAGATCGAAAGCCATACTGCAGTTTGCTGTTCAGCGTCGCACTGAGCAAACGTCGTGTGGCAGCTCAACGCATATTCAAAAAATTGCGAACTGCAAACTGCAAGCTGCAAATTGCAAATTAAGATCCGTACATCGTTCGCGCAAAGTGCAAGACGCGCTGAATTCGCAAGTTCACATTATAATATCCGCATACGCATCCGCATTCGCATCCGCATCTGGAAACAGCTTGCTTCCACACCCATTTTTGTTGTTCGATTCGTTTCATTTTTTTTCTGTTAATGTTACTCGTTATATATAATATATGTAGTCTCCATCCTTGTTGCAACCCACTCAGGCCTAGTCTTCTGATTCAATTGGAATCAGAATCGGAATCGGGTATCAGGAACTCTCAGGATTAGCTCTATGACAGGTAAGTCACGTGAGGTCCCGCTGCAACTTTCGCTTTCGGTGGGGGGGTAACACTAGGTAACTCTGGAAATGGGACAACAACAACAAGAACGGGGGCCAAATGGCCAGACAGGCACGCACTGAAGCGGTTCGCTTGGGGACCCTACTCCCCGCAACTCTTTTATCTCATCCAGCTCAACCCCCTCCCCCCCCCTTGGTTTTTTTTTTCTGTTGTGTTAGTTGTTAGGGCGACCGAGACCGAGACCCAGACGAGTCACTCAAACGACAACAACACTCCATCTCTATCCCCATCCCCATCCCCATCTCTATCCACATACCATCCCCATCCCCACCCCTATACCATTCCTATTATCAAGCATTCCCCATCTGCAAGCCACAAAGACCGGTACCCATACACTCACACGTCCACACAGACACACACACACACACACACACAGCAAGGTGACGTAATGGCAACTACTCCACTAACACATTTTTCTGCATTCCTGCAACGGAGTGGAGAAGAAGAAGAAGCGGTGGGGGCGTGGCGGGGTGGGAAAGTCGCGCGACGAGAGAAAAACTGAATGAAAATTGCAGGCAGCCAACGAAGCGTGCCTAGCAAAAAGGAAGAGCGAAAAAAAAACATAAAAAGCGACAGAAACTAGAGACGTAGTCAGAGAGCCAGACTACGAAAACGATGGGGGGGGGGGGTTGAGGTTTGGTGGGGGTTCGAGGGTACAGGGTGTTCGGAGGGTATGGGGCACACACGTGGGACGTGCTGTGGAGCTCGGGATGCGAATGTGGTGGATGTGGATGCTAGGAAAAACAGAAGAGGAAGGAGAGGAGGAGACTCGCCAAAGTGGTGGCCCCGACTAGACGCTGTCTGCGTGCTGTTGGATGGTTGGCATTGGTATTAGGGTGTCTGTGTGTGTGTTAGCCATCTGTGTGTGCGACTGGCCGACATTCAAGGTTGACGGGGCATAACTTGTTGTTGCCCCTGCTGCTGCTGCTGCTGCTGCTGCAATTGTTGCTGCCACGGATTGCAAATGCAACGCAGTTTCAGTTACAGTTTCTGGAACTTTATGAGTAACAGTTAGGTCACAGGACTTCCGTCCCTATATGACATATATATATATATATGTATATCTACTGCTACTGTTAATCAAAGAGCAATTAGAGAACTCCAGAGCAGACTGGGAACTAGCAAGCACAGTAGCACCACTTCCGTTAGCCTTGGGGCCCAATCAACTGGAATCAACTGGAAACGGCGGCCAATTGAGAGTCGCACACACAAGTGGACAAAGCAGCAGCAGACCTCCATAGAGTTTTGAGTTCCCAGTTCCAAGTTCCCAGTCATCCAGTCCTCCAGCCCCGTGACTCATGTTCTAGCACAGGGCACTTGTTTGGCTGCACCACAGTCGCAAATGCATCCGTCGTCAGACAGGCGCAATAACAAATGGGGATCACGATCATCATCACCATCACGATCATCATCACAATCGTGATCATGATCACCACAATCGGCGTAACGATGATGCCATTCAAGGCCGCCGCAAATTGTGAGGAGTAAGGAGTTGCAAAACAAACACAGAAGACAGCCAGAGCTACAACTACAGCTACAGGAGAATTGAAAGCGAAAGCGAAGGCGCAACAGAAAGACGGACAGAGACAAAGTGCATAGTTATCGCTATAGACATATAGATATATGGATATATACATACATACACACACACATTGGGGCGAGTTCCCAAGTTCTCGGAAACGGTTACTCCAAGGCCAAAAGCCGGATAGACAAACAAATGGCACAGGCACAAAGGCTAGGAGATAACTCTTCTCCATTCTCCACTCTGCAGTCTTTTCCTTCTGTCTCCGTCTCTGTCATTCTCCAATCTCCTTTCTTCTCCCACTTGCTTCTGCTCCATTCGCGATGTTTCTATTTCTGCCCAGGCACAGATACAGCAGACACAGGAGACCCTGCACTCAGAGAAGAATTGGCCCTGAAATTTAGAAAATCTTTTTGAATTCTTCTAATTGAATCTTGAAATCACAAGAACTACTATCTTCCTAAGTAGTATATATTTGAGAAGTGGAAAAATTTGTGTTTCTAAAACCGTCTACAATTTGTTTTCCGAGTGTGCAATTCCTCACTTCAATTCTTCTGCATTCTGCACTGGAACTCCCCTTTCTTTTGCTGCCGCTCTCTTTTTTTTTTTGCTTCTTCCTGCTCTGCTGGCTCAGTCAGTCAGTTGGTCATGAGTGTCATGTTCATGTTCATAGTTGTGGGGGACTAGGACGTCCCGGGGAATGGGTTCGGGAATGGGTAGGGGTATGGGAATGGGCTTCTTCTTCGATGAACTGCCAACCGATCCGATAGCTGGTTAATTTTTTCGTTTATTTCCTGCACTTTCGTTGACAACTTTGGGTTTTTCACTTGTGCACTCTGTTGTTTTCTTGTTTCACTTTTTTTTTCGACTGAAGAGGTTCTCAGCTTTCATGGAAGGGGAGGGGGTCGAGACACCGAGGGTCGTCTTCTTATATAAACCGTTATAGCTGGGACTTTTCTTTTCTTGGGCTATGACACGGGTAACCCGAGACTGTCTCGGCTTAACGGTAAATGTGATAAACAGTGACAATGACCGTGACTGTGATGGTTCCCCGGTCTAACCCCATAGAAACCCCCGCTCTCCCCTGGCCATGGATGGCCCCCCTTGCAAACTGCAGAAAAAAACGAACGGAGTAGAAAAGCGCTGCGAATAATGGGCACAAAAAAAGTAAATGTGTACACTCGGTGAGCCAGATGCGCATTGAAACCCCCTCCCCCCCTCCCCCACACACACACTTGCACCCAACAATGCATTGACATTCAGTATCCACAGAAGCAACAAGCAGAAAGAACGCCAAAGATCAACGGCCAAGAAATTTGCCAGTCCCGAAAAATACACAAAACTTGGGGCACACACATGTGTGTGCTTTTTTTCTTTTTTTTGTTCGTATTGCAGAGCCTAAAAATAATGCCCCCTGTCGCACCCCTTTCCAGCCCCCTCGCCACCCTTGCTTTTCCCGCTGGAAACGAAGCTCGCACACACGAGGCCATCCGATCTCAGCCGATCCCAGCCGAATCGAGAATGGAGAATGGTGTGTGGGGAGCAGGAAGGGGGTGAGAATGGAAATGGGAATATGGCAACAGGAAGAGGGAGTCGGAGAGGAGGAGAGCGGGAGCGGGGAGCCCTAGCTCTCTCGCGCAGTTGTGGCGAGCACATTTTTTTTATCTAATAACCTTGTGCAATGTTATTAAACCCCAAAAGTTTCTTAACCTCAGCGCGACGTCGGCAGCGACGCTAGCTGCAGAGCAGAGAGCAGCTTTTTGATGAGAAATGCTAATACATTGCAGCGTGCCCATGTATGTACATATGTATGTGTGTCAATTGATCGCGAGTGTGCGTATGTGTGTATGTGTGCCACATTGCGCAAAATGGTCTATAAAATTAATGAGCTGGCCACGCACATACATATGTACACACATATCTACATGCACATTCGCACATACAAAGGCCTACTATGTAAACGCATCACCATATCAATATGTATGTATGTGCGATGGGAATGGGAATGGAAATGGAAATGGCAATGGAAATGGAATGGAAAAAGCAAACAAGCTAAATCCCATGTAATGCGAATTAAATTGTGTGCGTGGAAAGAGAGAGAGTGGGGGGAAGGGGAACTGACTTTCGCTTTGCCTTCGCTTTTCCTTCTTTTCGATAGGCTTTTGTATTGCATTTTATTCACCGTTTTTTCCCACTCCTCTTTGGCGGCTGCTTCCTTTTACATTATTAGTGCGCGATTTGCAAGAAAGAAAAAAAAATATATGTACATATATAAAAACACACTTTGCACTTGAGTTTTTTACGAATTTTATTTGCTGCGCTGGCAACTTAGAAGACCCCTATTCCTATTCGAAAAAAACGATATAACAAAAGCAGTTACGTTGCAGTAATTCTGCCAACTCAACTTCCAGTCGTTCCCATGTTTTCTCATTTTTGCGGTAAACGGGACAGGGATAGAGAGGGATAGAGGCAAAATGCAAATTTCCAATTTTGGAAAGGCAGCAGAAATGGCGCAGTTACTTACAGTGATCTCCCGATAGACAGTCACCAGATCCAGATAGAGATGTACATACATACATATTCCATTCCAGAGGTGAATGCACCCATTTATTACACTCATTATTTTGCACGCATGTATGTGTGCGAGCGACGCGGATGTCCCGCTAGAGAGCGAATTTCGCATTTGTTTGTTATTTTCGTACGCTTTTGCAATTTGCAGTTCAACGTTCATTAGAGCGGCGGCGGCGGGCCAATAACTGATTGCCCTTTGGTGGCGAGGGGGGTTGTGGGGTTCAGGGGGTGGGTTTACTGCACTTATCGGTTATCGGGCAAAGCGAAAAGCTCCTCGCGATAATGGACAACAGACGCCGTCACACTTTTTTGGAGTTGCACGAAGCCCAAAAAACGAAACGATACCGCTTTCGGGTATTCTGTGGGCGGTACAGAGGGCGGGGGCGGGGGCGGGGGTGCTGAACGCTTGGAGCAGTTCAAAGACCCCAATGACGGAGGCAAATATCACAGCGCGCACAAATCCACAATCACTTAACTTATGTACTTCCCCTTCCTTTTAATTTTTTCTCTTCCAAGGAACAGGGCACTTAAAAAAAAATAGATGGTAACAACTCCAAAATCCGTGGAGGGATGGTATGGGCTCCAATGCGATTTGCGAACTAAACGAAACTAACCGACGCTGGAAAATGAACGTCGCGATCTAGCGCAAAACTATTCGCATTCCCATACGCTCTCGCGGCCTTTCCATTTGATTTGACTCAAAGAGCAGCAATTCGAAACTTACATGGCCTAGTGCTACCCATTGCTCTATGAGGGGAAGGGGTATACTGAACTGAGTTGGATTTCATTTTGGTTTAGGTATATATATATTGCTATTGGAATAAAATCCACTACGTATTTGAAAAGTTTTTAGATCCTTAGTTTTATCCATATAATGTAAGCAGAGTCCTTATAAATAGTCAGCTATTTTCGTTGATTAACGGGTATCTCCCAGTCGTGCATCCCCACTATAGTGTTATTTCTTGTTTTTCCACTAGAGAGCTAGAGAGAGCGCTAGCAAAAGCGCTCAAATAGAAACTAGCTGGGAATAGAAATAGTTGAGTGAGTGAGAGAGCTACTGATAGAGAGAGGGTACTCTTTGGCTTACTTCCAGTGGGAAGCCGAAACTGGAAATTCGCATGCAGGTACATATGTATGTATGTGGGTGGCAGGAGGAGGCTGCATTGCTCTCTGTCTAGCACTATTGCAGATCGCCCACTCAGTCTTACACTCACATGCTCATGCTCTCCCACTCTCTTGTGATATTTTTTGCATTATTTATTTGAAGCTTTTTCGACTTTGGCTGGCGAATTTGCGAATTTGTGCGGGGTAAACGACCGAATGTCCGACAAGCGATGACTAGGTTAAGGTGAAGGTCAAATTAGCAAAAATGCAAAACAACTAAGCGCAAGAGAGGCGGAGACGACTCAAAAAAAAGAGAGGGAGAGCGACGACGACGAAGCTGACGGCGCAGTCGCAGCGCACTAACAATAGAAATCAACTTTGTCAGCGGGAATGTTGTTGGAAGTGGCAGGGGGAAGGGGAGTTGGCAGAGCCAAAACAAAACAAAAGAAATGAAAAGGCGGCGCAGGCAGCAAAAGCCCAAAGAGGAGGAAGAAGAAGAAGAACCTGAAGCGTAGACAAAAGTGGTCAGGCTCTTGGATTTTTTTTTTTAGATTTGTGGAATGGAATAGGCATGGGCATGGGCATGGATTTCCAGACAGGAAAGAGGGGCGCGGGGCCAGCTCTTCTTCTTCGCTGTCTGGTGCGATCCTCTTCCTCCTCCTGGAAGACTGGAAGGGGTGGGGGGCGAAGAGGAAGAGAGTGTGCTGTTTCTGTTTGAGAGTGTTTGTCCGCACGCTTCAACACCATTGCAAAAATGGCGAGCTTTCTAATGCGCTCTCATTCTTTCGCCTCCTCTCTCTCTCTCGCACTCTCTATTATGCGCAACTAGCTAGGCAGCGACGCCGGCAGCGGCCGAGGCAGCGGCAGCAGCAGAGGCGATTGAATTGGACGAGACCTTGAACTTGGACTCAGTTTACGAGTTGAAGAATTGGGTTTTGCTTTTGTTTTGAATGGCTATCGCGCTCTCGCTCTCTCACTCTTCCACTGGGTGCTAACTGTTCTACTTCTATGTACATACATACATATGTATTGGCCCCTCCTCTCTTTCCCTCTAATTGCTTACAATTAGCCTAATGGGCTAATTAACACGCATTAATCAGGTGCCCTACAGGTTCGGTTACCCAAAGTACATACGAATGTCTGTGTGGGGCAATGCAAATGCAAATGGAAATGACCCGTTATTGCGGCGGTGGGTGGTGTTGGGTGGCGTTTGCCGTTTACCGTTGGCGTCTAGCATTTGTCTAGCCACACACACACACCGATGCACCCTGTGCAATGCACTCGTTGTAAAGCTCTCCTTGCTTAACATCCATCCACCCACCCACTCTCTCTCTCTCTCTGCTAGTTTTTACACAGAACTTTCGCTTTCACTACTCTCTGCTCTCTGCGTGTGTGTGTGTGTGTGTTTGTTGGCCGTTAGATTTTACATTTGGCCGGCATTCGGTGCTTGGAAAAGTGGAAAAGGGGGGAAAAAAGGGGAAGGTATTTGCAATGTGTGCGATTTGCCATGTGGAAATGTGATGTGGGCGCCACAGCGTCTAGCCGGCAACAAGTGGAAAGTGGAGAGTGGAAATGTGGAAAGGGGAGTGGTAAAGGAGGAGGAGCAGGAGGAAAATGGGGGACAAGTGGATGTGGACTGACCTTGTTTAATGCTTTGTAAGCTGTCGTAGACCAACTTGTCACGCGCCATCCCTCTCGCTCTTTCTAGGAAAAGGAAAATACATACGTACACACACATAACTAACTCAAGTAACCTTGAAAATAGAAACCGCACACACAAACACACTTGGCGACAACGATAGGAGCAAAAAGCAAAGCAAAATCCAGAAGAAATAAGCAAACTTTTGCGGCCAAACACAATAGAAAGAGAAAGCAAAAGAGGGGGAGGGGGCGGCAGAGCGAGGGGCGACAAACAAGTTTGCGAGGGTGGTGCAGGAGATATGGCACGCCAATCTGATCCAATCGGATCGTCACACACACAAATACCTCTATTTTCGCACACTCGCATTATACAATTTAGTTTCCAACTGAACAAACTACTATACTCATACTCTGGCTGCTCTATCTAATCGCGTTCGCTGCTGCTCTTTTGGCTTTTTTATTCATTTCTTTTTTTTTTTATTAGCTACATATACAGCGCAGTCAGCCAAATAATTGCTTTTATTTAAACTCGCACACAGACACAGGCTCATTTTTTGGGAGTGCCAAAAAAACGACTGCAACGAATTTCGACTTTTTCTAGAACTATTTTAGAGAGCGAGAAAGAGATAGCAACAGAGAGAGAGAGAGAGGGCGAGAGATGGCTAGCGAAATGCGGCAAACAAAATTTAATAATAATACGGCCACAAAGGCAGCAACAAAAAAAAAATGTAGTATTTAGCCTTGAAAGTTCGTAAGCACTACGGGTAGAACTCACACACACACACACTCGTACATACATATACAGCCAAGATCTGTCGACTATAATATGCAGAAATAAATAAAAAACGTAAACGGGAGAAAATTTTGCAAAGTGTATGTATATAATGCTAGGTTCTTTTTTTCTATTAGTTGATTAGTAGCACATAGCGATGGGTTTCTCCTTATTTTATGGGTTTTTCAAAGGAATTTTATTTCATTTTTTTTCGAGTGGGACTTTCTTCTATTCTTTCTCTATGATTATTAGTTAGTTATTAGTCAGCCGGCAGCAGCGCTGCGACTGCGAAGCGCTTGCTTAGTTCTATGCACAAAAATTCAACACTACAGAGAGAGAGAGGGAGAGCAAAAGAGCCAAAACCAAACACAGAGATCGAGAATATAAAAAATTCGGCATTCGCCGCTGGACTTTTTGTGCAAAAAATGCTTTTTTTCGCAGCAGGCGTGCGCGCTTGTGTGTGTGTGTGCTGCGTCTGGGAATTCTACATTCTAATACGTCTCAACTGGGATCTCCTGCTCTCCTTCGCACGCTCTCTTTCTATCCTTTGGCCAGGCCCGCTGCTCCCGCTATCGCCATCCCTGTCCAATCCTTTCGATCGAAAAGGCGATTTCGTTGCGACAACAGAGCGTGCGCGCAATCGCTCTCTCTCCCGGTAATGCCATCTCGCTCTGGCCAACATCCAGACGGTAGAGAACGCACACACAGACATAGATTGCCAAAAATTTTGGGGAATAGTGTGTTTTTTTTTTCGCCTGCCTAATGCGCTTTTTGTGTGCCGTCGACGTCGACAGAGGCAGAGGCAGAGGCAGCGGCAGAGGCAGCGACTGAGACTGGCACGGCACTCTCTTCTTCTTTAGCGCAAATTCAGTTGAGTTTCTACGCTTGCAATCACCAAACGCAACAAACACAAAATACACGGGAAACGGAAAACACGGACACGGACTATCCATATCCGATCCAACCAAATAGCCAAAATAAACCAAATAGCCGAGATACTTATCTGAGATACATCCGTAGATATCCGCAAATCCGCAAGCGGATGATCCTGGAACCGCCCTCGCGCTCGGTATCACCGAGCTCGGCTCAAAAGCCATGATATCGGCAGTCCAAGATAGTTTAGTTTAGTCATCGGTTCGGTTCGTTCGGTCGGTCGCTCCCCCAAAATCGCTTCGTTTTAAGTTCGGTTCGGATCTCGGTTCTCCTCCAGAACTTCCAGTCTCCAGATTCTCAGCTTTCCAGCCTCCTAGCTAACTAACGGTTCATCCTCGCCGCGTCTCTTTGTGTGTGTGTGTGTGCCCCAAAATTTTTTAATATATTTTGTTGAGTGCGTTATAAGTACCTAAAAAGTAAGAGAAATTGCGTATACGAGAAATTGCGTATACGCCAGCAGAATAGTTTAACACCTAAAATATAGTAAATTCAGAATTACCAAAATCCCAAAGTTTGCAAATTGAAAGAGCAGCTGAAAAGCTTGAAATATGCCCCACAGCAGGGCATCGGATTCCAAACAGAGCGCCAGGTGGAGAAAGGTGAGCCTTCTTGTTGCAATTTGAAGAATCGGTGGGAATGGGAATTGGAATGGGAATAAGACTGGAATATGGGTAATGGGAATGGGAATGGGTATGGGAATCAGAATGGGAATGGGAATGGGATGACGATATCATAGCGAGGGGTGCTATTTTTGTGCGGACCCATCACTCATACGTATCAGCGTATTGTGGGTTTGTGCTAGTCAACTGGCAGTACATACATACAGTTGCGGCAACAAAAATAGCACCAAAGTGTGGGCAATTTTTATTTGTGTACAAAATGGTCATTTTTTGCAATATTTTTCTTCTGTGTGTAAGGGTAAGTAGGTTTACATATCGTTTAACTAAAGTAAAAATGGTTGTGGGCGTAATGCGAATGGTTTTTAAAACTTCGATAGATTTATGAAAAAAGTAGCATAATTATGCGGCAACAAAAATAGCACTATTAACGGTTTTTGGGTATAAAACTTCATTTGCTCAGATTTGTTGGCTGTTTTTCGTTTTGTTGTATTAAGAATAAGTACTACTAAGTGAATTGGTAAAATAATGCATAAAATAGTGTTCCCAATGGGTCATTTAGCGCGCTGTAATGATACAGATAGAAGGACATTTAAAAAGCTAATTTATAAAGGCAATGCAAAAGATAAGTTAAGTTGAATCGTTGAATTCTTTAAAATAATGATTAGTAGTTACCTAAAACAAGAACACAAAAGAATAGCACGCAGTACGAAAGCCGCAATGACCCCATAACTGTTAAAAAGTCATTTGCATGAATGCAAGTAGGTCCCGTTTTAGGCGCCTATCAAGTCGCTTTTTTTTTTTTTAATATTTGTAAGTACATAAAAAGTTGGATATAATGTACATAAAAATCAATTATGCGCTTGACGTCCAAAAAAAAAATCTCCCTAGACTGCAGAGCATGGGTGAATTTGAAGGGCGAGTTTTAAATAAGGCCCACAATAAAAGGAACACTCTTATATGGTCTGGCGGCTGAAAATTGCTCATGTTTAGATGAAAAAGACTTTAAATTCACATCAGGTAACCTACATATCCAAAATTGAGTCCCCATTTCACATTTGCAAAGAATAATAATGGTGAAGCAAGTATAATGGTATGGGCATATTCTCGTACTATAATGTTGGTACCATATCATAATGTAAACCCATACAGGATCAACATGTTCACCTTGATAGCTCAGAAATTGTGATGCAATTTTATTCGTAATACAAAACTAATTTATTTCCGAAGCTTTACCACGGTTATAACCCAAAAAAAATCAGTCAGAAAGTCGTACAAAGTTTTAAAACCCTTAAGCTAAATGGTATAATGGGGACCTTACAAGCCCCAGAACTAAAACACATCGAAAATCTTTGCAGAAATGTTAAAAACTATGTTTTTAATGCAAAACCGAAGAAAAAAAACTGCCCTCGAGCTATTTTGAAAGAGCCAGACAACAATTTTGCCAAGGGAAGATTCTGGTGTCTAGTGACGTCAAGGTCGGTCGTTGTTGTTGTTGTTGTTGCAGCCCAAGCTTTAGAACAATATTTTTTTACCTTAAGGTGTATGAAATCATACATTTCAATCAAAAAAAATTTTCAAATCGCGTTATTTTTAAGTTTTTTAAGTTTTTTATTTAAGTGGTGCTATTTTTGTTGCCGCATAACTTTGCTACTTTTTTGATAAATGTATCGAAATTTTAAAAACCATCCGTATTGTGGGCGTAACCACTTTTATTTTAGTTAATAGATATGTAACCCTACTTACCCTTACAAACAGAATAAAAATATTGCAAAAAATTACCATTCTGTAGCACAAAGAAGAATTGCCTACACACTGGTGCTATTTTTGTTGCCGCAGCTGTACATATAAAAACAGAAAAAGTGCAGCGCATACCCGGCGGACTTATCTAATAGTTTTCACTTTCAATGTCGAGCGAAAGCTCTGCCGCTGTTGCTGAATCGCTTATCGCAACCTTCGCAATTCGCAATTCGCATTTCGCAAACCATTTGGCGAGAGCGGGACGCAAGACATGCGAGGGAGAAAAAAAAAGAGAGAGAGCCCCGAAAGTTTTCTGTATTCAAATTAAATTTTTTTTTTGGAATTTTTTTTTTTTTAATTTTTTTTGTTTGCCTTTCTGCAAGATGTCCAGATGGGAACAGAGCGGAACTGGGAACAGGCCAACTGCTCCCCGACCCCTGTGTTCCCACCATACAAGTGTTCTTGGTATATTCGCATTTGTTATAATTCGCTTTTTTTCATCACTTTTTTGTTCACTCCTCCCGTTTGCGATGCGTTGGCTTTTTTCACTCCGTTTTTTATGGCATTTTTTTTTTTTTTTTTTTTGGTTTTTTGTTGTTTTTCGGCGGTTCTGCACTCGTTATAAATTTTTTGCTTGTGCTGCTGCTTCTACTTCTTCTGCTTCTTCTACTTCTGCGAGTGCTAATTGTCGTCTTGATAGTTTATTTAATTTTGATTCGCCGTGTGACATAGAAATGGCTTTTTGCTGCTGCGTCGTCGCCGTGGTTGACATTTTAAACTGCATTTGTTAACAATTTTTAAACATTTCGCATAGTTGCAAGCGAAACAGCAGCAGAACAGGCAAAAAAACGCAAAAGCGAGCAAAAAAGCCAACGTTGCAAAGCAGAAACAAATGCATAACTTTCAGCTAGCACGGCACAAATTCGTTAAAAAAAATTATATACTATATATGTGTAGCATAACCAAGGCGAACTCTGAACTGCAATGAACCTAAAAGACGGGGGGCTTCTATGTTACCGAACTCAAATTTTAATTGTTTGCTCTTCTGCTTTCTTTTCGCTTGCAGTTAAGTAATCATTAGTGAATACAACACAATACAACAATCATCCAAGGAATCAGCAAATACTATTCAGTAAAGTAACCGAAAAGAGAAGGGGAAAAGGATCAATAGGAGAGCCACAGCGCTTTCTCCCTCTTTCATCGGTGGGTCAGGCCGCCAAAAAGCCGTCAAAATACGAAAGAAGGTGACCTCGAAGAAGGCCAGCGTTGTGTCGGTTGACGACGATCACAACAACAACAACAATAACAACAACGACCACAACGCTCGGCAGCCCACAACAACCACAAGCACAAGCACAAGCACACCCACACCAACGGCAACACCAACACCCCCCACACCTGTCGAACTGCAGCCGGTACAAGAAGCAGCATACCAATACCAATACCAATACCAGAGTAATCAGAACCTAAACCAGAGCCCCAATCAGAAACCGCAATCCATCGAAATGGACGACACACAGCACTTTTGCCTACGCTGGAACAACTACCAGAGCAGCATAACCTCGGCCTTCGAGAATCTGCGGGACGACGAGGCCTTCGTGGACGTAACCCTCGCCTGCGAGGGGCGCAGCATCAAGGCCCACCGCGTCGTCCTCTCCGCCTGCAGTCCCTACTTCCGCGAGCTGCTCAAGGTGAGTGCTAATCTCTAGTTCATAATCTCTTAAAGCCGTATAGACGGGCACTCAGGTTCCCAACGCAAAGAAAGTGTATTTACCGCATCAATATTAAAGTTATTATAATGAATTTAAAGTGGAGAATACATAGGTAATAGAACTTCCATTGAAATAAGGTACTTACTGATATAAAGGAACCCTAAAAATAGGTTTTACAGCACCAAAAGTACCATTATTAAATAGGTATTAAAATCCAAGTGGAGAATAGTCAGGGATTCCAATAACAAAGAAACTAAGATTCTTTCTAGCAACACTTAAAATGATGTTTTATACAGATCGTATAACAAAATAATATTAGAAGCCATCCTTATAGCGAACATAGTGGAAAAACCAGTTAAAAAGTAATGATATTATTCAAAATACAAGCAACGGGCTTTGTAATGTTTTCTTTCAGATGAAAAAACAAAGCGTGTATAAAGCGTTTCGACCCAAAAATTTCCTCTCTTTCTGTCTGTAGAATTTATGATCTATATGCTGAAGATGTGGATGTGATTTTTGTGGAACAAATTGTAGGGATTCTGCTTGTTTTTTTTTGCGTAAATACTTTCGCAATTGCATTAACACATTTACAGTTACAGCGATGGCAGCAATCTGCGTGCTTGGCTGTATGTGTGACCTACTTAGCACCCATTGCAAATTTCTCCCTCTTTCTTTCTTTTGAGATCTTCGTTTTTATCTCTGTTTTTGCACACACACACATTTAGTACGTATGTATCTACATGTGCAGCAGCCAGTTCCAGTATCTTGAGGATACTTGGGGGATTGTACTATATATAAAGTATGGGTTCTGGAAGCGAGTGGTTCCGATCGGTCCACCTCAAAGGAGCAACGGAAATTACTCACTTAAATGCCGCAAAACCAAGACCCCTACCGCGAAAATAACCAAATTGTTCCGCCAAAGTTAGTTTAGCCAGCAAGTGGGGAAATAGTTGTGTGCTTTTAGCTAAAATACTGTGGATAGGAGTAAGTTTAGCCGGGGGTTGGAAAACGGGAAGGGGTTTTTGGCGTTTTGCTAGCACTTTAATTTATTTAGTTGCACACGATGGCAAAAAAAAAACGACAAGAAAGGCACAAAAATCACGGCATTTGTCGACAGATTGCGGAAAAACGTAAAGTAAAGTAAAGCTAGGAAGGAAGGAAGGATGGAAGGAAGGAAGTTGTGTGTACACTGTACAGTCGTAACACGTTATGAGCTCTGGTTATTTAGTAACTATATATATTTGATTGCGGTGCAAATGAGTCGATGGCATGGGACAACGCTACGTATGATTGATTTGTGTGCCCTGATCATGCAACGCATGCGAATGGATTCGCAACTTGCAACTGGTAACTAGAGCAGGCTAAAATGAGGCGACTATACATAGTCTATAGAGTGTAAATGTCAGGACTACTACCTCATGCCTTTTCCCTTTGCTAATCCTTGAAGTTGGCCAAAGTACAAAGTAACTCACAAGCCAAAGTAAACTTGCAACTAATGCAGACCGCCCCGCTCAAAAAAGCCCGCAGTTTGGTTCATTATTTTTATTATGACATTAAAATTATGTGGAATCGTTTACGTTTTGCCCGCCAAAACTTTGCGCGCTGCCTGCATTGAAAATATTTGCACGCAATTGCGGTTTTTGAGCGACAGGAATGGGGAACCACCAGCTAGTTAGAGAGCGGGTTGCGGGGTCAAAGGTTGGGGCACAGGACAGCCTCGACGTTTGCCATTTGCATTGTTCGAGCTGTCATTGAAGACAGCCAGGGGGTCAGAGGGGATCAGAGGGGGTCAGGGGAGGCCAGAGGAGGTCCTGCAGCTGAAATTATATAAATTACAAAGTTCCTTCCCCCATTTCTGCAACTCTTACTGTCTCTTTCGACATGATTTGTTAACATGATAGAAAACTTGCTGTGCTTTCCGTTATTATTTTCCGTTTTTGTTCCAAATTATGACAAACAAAAAGAGTGTAGCGCGCGCTTCGCAAACTTGTCAGTTTTGTTTGGTTTTTGGGCAAGAAGAACTGCAATTAGGAGAGAATTCGGTGGGGGGTCAGGGGTTAGGGGCCAATCCCCAGCACTGATTACGCAACGGCTTTGGCAACAGAGGAACGAAGGAACCCGAAACAAGAACATGTCAAGAAGTCCCTGGCAAAGTTTATTCTCCACCTCCAACCATCGCAAACCCAAACCCAAACCCAAAACAAGAAATTGCGCTAGCAGAAAAAGTCGGCATTTAATTTGTTAAAAAGGCCAACTAAATGCAGCGGGACAAAAAACCAGCAACGCCAACAAAAGGCAAAACGGGCCGACTGAATTTTTACTTGAGCTCTCTTTTTTGCTGTGATGTACTTGCTGTAGAATTATGTACCCAAGAAATTAGTATACAAAACTTTGCTGGCTGCCAGAAGGCAATGCAATACAAAATAAAACAAGGAAGAACGCTATAGTCGAGTACCTCGACTATCAGATACCCGTTACTCAGCTAAATGGAGATATGCAAGCAGCAAAGCGAGATTAAAATGCGCCACCTACCGGCGGTATACAGATTTAAGCGTTATGGGCGTTAGAGTGGGCGTGGCAAATTTTTTTTTGGATCAATCGATAGGTATCGACGAGATCAATACATTTCAGTTACAATTTTTTATCTAGCATGAAAATTGTGGGCGTCACAGGTTTTTGCGGTTTGTGGGCGTTAAAGTGGGCGTGGCAAACTTTTTTTGAGTCAATCGATAGGTAATGACGAGACGAATACATTTCAGTTAAAATTTTTTATCTAGCATAAAAATTGTGGGCGTCACAGGTTTTCGCGGTTTGTGGGCGTTAAAGTGGGCGTGGCAAACTTTTTTTTAGGTCAATCGATAGGTATTGATGAGAACATTACATTTCAGTTAAAATTTTTATTCTAGCATCAAAACTGTAGGAGCCACAGTTTTGGGCGGTTTGTGGGCGTTAGAGTGGGCGTGGCACTCTACTGAAACAAACTTGCGCTGCGCAGGAATCTCAGGAATCTGCGTGCCTAATCCCAGTATTGTAACTCTCATAGTTTCCGAGATCTCAGCGTTCATACGGACAGACGGACAGACGGACAGACGGACAGACGGACAGACGGACAGACGGACAGACGGACAGACGGACATGGCTAGATCGACTCGGCTAGTGATCCTGATCAAGAATATATATACTTTATGGGGTCGGAAACGCTTCCTTCTGCCTGTTACATACTTTCCGACGAATCTAGTATACCCTTTTACTCTACGAGTAACGGGTATAAATACAAAAAATACAAAAAATATAAAAAAGAAGGGAATGGCACTGGCACAAAACTTTGTAAATTCAATTTGAAATACATACAAGTGGGCAGTAGGTGGCGAACAAAAGGAGACAGTGGACAGTAGTTGTTGCAACTGGCAAACTGGACAAATGGACAAATGGACAACTGAACTCGCCCAGACAAACCCAGACACTTGGCTCCCGCCCAGCAAAACTGGCCTGTACTGGACTGGAGTAAAAGACCCAGCACTTGGCGTCGCAATTGTGCGCGACTTTGCGCCTATGCATAAATATTTAATTAACTGCAGCGCATTATTTTAATTAGGTGTAAAAACTGCCAAACAACAAAAGCCCCGAGAAAGACTCCAGGGGGAGACTCCCAGATTCAGATTCAGATACAGATACAGATACATTTACAGATACAGATACGGATTCGGATTGCAGCTAGAGGTGACTTAATGGGGGGCATTTGCTAAAAGCATTTCTGGCTTTTGTGTTACGGCCAGGCCAGGGCCACGCCCACAGCGCCTCATTAGCATTTTCTATAAGTTATATGATATATCATGATATTCTATGAGATATAAGATATATGCTATATGATATAAGCTACATAATATATGTTATTTGATATATTCTATATGCAATTTTATATATGATTTAAGATATATGGTACATAATATATGTTATACGCTATAAGATATATGATATATATCATGATATATGCTATATCATATATTCTGTGAGATATAAGTTATATGCTATATGATATAAGCTACATGATGCTATAATATTTGATATATTCTATATGAAAGTTTCTATATATGGTATATTATATGTGCTCTATATGCTCTAAGATATATGCTATATAATATATCCCATATGACATTCGCTAAGTAATACATGTTATATGCTATAAGATATATACTATGTGCTATATACCATGTAACATTTACCAGCTGCATTGGAGACGATCTTCCGATCATTCTTTGCCGTCTCCTGACGCATTTCTCTCTCCTCAAGTTGACCTCAATTTCGCAATCCCCCACACACACTGGCAATCTTTTAGCGCTAACTCAATCGCAAATATCCAATATGTGTGTGCGTGTCTGTGAGGGCACATAAATTGCACAAGCCCAAGCACCAGCCAGTAAATAAGACAAACAGTTTGTGCATTTTGCAGGGTTTCTCAGGGCAGAGCAACAAAAGACGAGGCGAGACTTGACCCAATTTCTAGCCAGGCAGCAGCAGAAAAACACAGAAAAAAAACACAGAGAAACAGCAGAGGAGCAGCTCCCTTTGTTGGAGTTCCACTTGATAAGTGAAACTCACTGTACACACGCAGCAAAAACTGGAATGCACTGGCCCTGAATATGTGCTTAAAGTAGAGGATGGGATGTGGATGGGGATGGGGATGGGAATGGGGATTGGGATGGTATGGGGTATGGTATACGGTATGGGGTATGAAGGGAACACATGGCAGAAACAGAGGCAGAGGAAATAAACTGCAGCTGGCTGCGAATCGAAAAGCGAAACCAGCGAATGCAAACTTCAAATCGCTCGTTGGCCTGTTGACATTTCAGCGACAATTGAAGGTTGTCTGGGCCAGAGCCCCCTGATAATTGCCCAGGCAAACAGGCTTATCGAGTGATGGCTATGATGCGGGGGGACTCAGGGTATCTGACTCACCCAACCAACACACAACATCTGACTAATCCAACTCGAATTTTCAGAGCACACCCTGCAAACACCCGGTCATACTGCTGCAGGATGTGAACTTCATGGACCTGCACTCGCTGGTGGAGTTCATCTACCACGGCGAGGTCAACGTGCACCAGAAGTCCCTGCAGTCCTTCCTCAAGACCGCCGAAGTGCTGCGCGTCTCGGGACTCACGCAGCAACAGGCGGAGGACACACATAGCGTGAGTATTAGGACGGTAGAATAACCAGGATGACCAGCTCGACTCAGTCCAGAACTTGCAACTCTATCCCACAGCATTTGGCTCAGATACAGAACCTGGCCAATTCCGGCGGCCGCACGCCGATCAATTCGCACGCCCACTCGCATCCACATCCGCACCATGGTTCGCTGCATGGCGACGACGGTGGCGGCTCCTCGACCCTGTTCAGCCGCCAGGGGGCGGGATCACCACCCCCGCCATCGGTGGTGCCCTCGCTGCCGCCGCACATCAACAACCAGCTGCTCAAGCGGATGGCCATGATGCACCGCAGCAGTGCCGCCGCCGTGGCCGCCGAGGAAACATCGCATGCTCTGAAGCGACTCCGGGGATCGGACAATGGATTGCCCCTCTCCGGCGCCGTTGGCGGTGGTAGCAACAACAACAGCCCCGACTTGCCACCGCTCCATGCACGCAGCACCTCGCCCCAGCAGACTCCGGCCGACTTTAGTACGATCAAGCACCATAACAACAACAATACGCCGCCGCTCAAGGAGGAGAAGCGTGAGTGTTGATTGGTTCCGATTCGGTGAGCTCTAGGTTCTAATTAATCCCTTGACCAACAGGCAATGGACCCACTGGCAACAACGGAAACTCTGGCAATGGAAACGGCAACGGAGCGAGCAACGGCAACGGAATCTCCATCAGCGACAAGCTGGGCAGCCTCACACCCTCGCCGCTGGCTCGAGCGGGCGCCGATGACGTCAAGTCGGAGCCCATGGAGCTCGTTTGCTCCAACAACAATGCCAATGCGAACGATGAGCACAGCAACGACTCCACCGGCGAGCACGATGCCAATCGCTCCAGTAGTGGCGACGGCGGCAAGGGATCCCTGAGGTAAGTTATCCTCATAAAGTCATAAAATCATTTAAGATATTGCCTAAAAGTATGCAGTGAAACATAAATATAATACATATCATAGCATACTATTAAACACCTCTACAAGTTTTTGATTGATTTGGTTTTCAGTTAGTTTTTTAGATCATACACCAAAGTGTCTAAAAGTAGACAGTGAAAAGAGGATTGAAAATATAATATTTTTTTTTGACGTGGAATTTTTTTTTTATACTGTCCTAACGTGAGCAACCAATAATTGTGATGATATAAGACTTGGGACTTGAGTTTTTCATCCTTTAAATTAGTTTTAAGTGCCAAAGTACTTATCCAAATTCAGATCAGAATCATTTAGCTTAAAAAAATAAGCCTTTTACCTTGATGATCAATTCGTAGTCGTAGGAAAATCTAGTAATACTCCTAAAACCCCATTGCAGCTCTGGCAACGACGAGGAGATCGGAGACGGACTCGCCTCACACCACGCCGCCCCGCAGTTCATCATGTCGCCGGCGGAGAACAAGATGTTCCATGCCGCCGCCTTCAACTTCCCCATGAGCAATCTCGATCACTCAGCGTTGCTTGGTGCGTATACGCAATGTGCGCAGCGATCGTGCTAACTAACTAACTAACGCTTTTCCTCTTGCTCTCCCCCTCTCTCTCTCTTTGTCTCGCTTTCTCCACCTTTTTCTCTCTCCCCATCTCTCTCTCTCTCTCTCTTTCTCGCTGCCCATTCTGATCGGTTTTTGGCCACATCTGCGATCCAATCACAGGTCTCAACACACAGTTGCAGCAGTCCGGTGACCTCGCCGTGTCCCCTCAAGGTGAGTCCGAACATTTCTCTATCCGTACTCTATTGTTCCGCTCTATTTGCGCTCAAAAGCTCATTATGACATTTTTTACATCAAATGCAAATGCAAATGCAAGTACCAAAATAATATACCAAAGAGTCTATCCAAGTCAGATACCAGAATACCAGATACCAAAAGAAATGAAAGGCTAAAAGCAAACGTAAACCTAAAAGTAAAAGAGAATACGAATACTAAAAAGCTAAAACCAAAAAAAAAAAAAAAAAACAAAAACCAAAGCCAGAATCTAAGTCAAATAATTATTTAATAAACTGCTGAGAGATCATTTTTAACATGCCCGTAATTTGGTTGAATTTTCGAACTACATAGTTTAACGTTCCTTTTTTTTGTTGTTGTAACCTTTCGTTGTCATTATCATTATCGTTTTCGTTTCCGTTTCCGTTGTTCTTTTGTTTCTTTCGAGTTTTGCGTTTCGACTGACTTGAGGACACACACATACATACATACATGTCGCATATGTATGCGTGTCGATCAGGAGCAGGACTTTTGATTTAACTTTCGATTTATTTCCCGTTGGACTCAACTCGAATCCGCACCCGAATCCAAAAAAAAAAAAGAAAATAAAATAAAAAACGAATTCGAACTTGATTCTTGGAACCAACGGCAGACCCAAAAATCGAACCGATCCCAAATCCCAAGCCCCACCAAAAAAAAAAACTCCGGTTCGTTGCGATTCCAAGTTCCGAGTTCCCGTCGTAGCGTATAAAGTGTATAAATTTCTTTCTTGTTTGATTGTTTCGATGGTAAATGTTTTCATTTGTTTCGGTCACACTCACACCCTCACACACGCACATGCCAGACCAGAAGAACCCAAGGGTATTAAAACCCAGAACCTAGAACCACCCACCCAAAAAGATTCTACCACGAACCCCCCTCCTCCCAAAAAAAAAGAAACCTCCAAGTAACTGCACATGCATATTTAGTCGGTTTTCCATGTCATCCGTGTTACGAAAAAGCGCCAATGATGATGAGAAGTGATACATAATGATAATAGAGAGTTCCATGCCAGGGTAATTGCTGAATAAACGCTTGCCGCGAAACTTTGGCAAACAATCTGAGCAACAGGCGTAGCCACACATCCGCATCCGCTTATTGCAAATTCCTGCTCCGCGTGTTTGTTGTTTGATGAACTACGCAAAATTAATTAACTCGCAGCTTTACAGCTCATCTGCCAGCCGCAGAGTGTTTAGCAAAATTCTATCACAAGTTTCGCGTGTGTGTGCTGCGGTTAGGCCGCAACAATCCGTAACAATCCGCAGCTCAAAATGTTTTATATGTTGCCACTTAAATAAGATAGCTAGTTCTATACGAACTCCCCGATCAACCCGATCGATCACCCATCCAATCCTCATGCCTCAAAGAATCATCCCAAGGCCAGAAACTAACTTTAAAAGCAACCGAATGCCACACGACAAACACTCTTTGACGTTTATGTTTTTGAATTCTTAACCGTTGTTATTTCGACTGCGTAATCCGCTAATCTATTTCCGTTTTTGTTTTGCATTCTTTGCGTTCTGTTCCGTTTCGTTTCGTTCCATTTTTGTGTGCGAATTTTTTGTGTATTCGTAATGAAAAACCCAAGTAAAACAAATGAATTACCAGCAAAATGTACTACAAAACAACAGCAAAACGCACCCACCCACACAAACAAAACACGCACACACATTCACGCCAATACACTGCCCTATTACAAACACATGCTTAGAATTCCAAAAAAAAAGCGATCCCAAGCTAGAAATTATAGTATGTTCAGTTTTTACCCCTATCCCAGAAGGAGCCACCTATTTTTTTTTCTTTTTAGAAAAACTATGAAGGAAAAAAATTTTAATTTTCATTTCGATTTCGATTTGAAGCTTTTATTTCAGTAGAGTAGAATCCCAAATGAATCCCATTTCGTTGCGTTTTCTTTTTATTTGTTTCGTTCCATTACGTTCCATTCTGTTTTTTGTGCTACAAGAATATGGCTGAAAAAACACTAGACATAACACGGGAAAATCCCCGCAGAGAAGCGAACACCGAGTACATTTTGCAATCGAAATTTTATTGGTGTCAACTTTTAGTTTCCATGTAAAACGCAACGCATTTGAAGATCGAATATATACATACCTACATAATATATATATATATATTGAATATTGAACTCTTTCCTTTATTTGTACGTCGTCGTGCTTGTGTCTAAAACTATGTAAACCCCACCCGAACCAAATTAACCACCCATCGACCCGCTCCCCCCATTAGCAAAAGTCAAAAGAAAAGCTTTATTTACAACAATTGCATTGGAACGAATTTTCACATTAATTTTCAATGTGTCTTTTGTTAACAACTGTCGAAGCCCCCGCAGCCTGTGATGGAGGGAAAAGCGGTTTTCATTTAGTTAACCACCCAGTCCAGACCCCCGAAAACGCCACCCCCCAAAAAATGCCCCTGGGTCAGTCTCTTGCTCTTGTCCCCTCGAATTCGGCCACACTTTGCTTTGAGTACACACAGCCCGACCAGACCCACCGACCCCGCAAATTAAAAGCAAAATCAAAACCCAACCCACAATTACCCCACAATCAAACAGCCCCACCACATTCACACTCACACTTAAATCGACAAATCCCCAATGTGCTGCTGCAAATACAGAAGTCAGTGCACAACCAGGTACATGTAAATCCTTTGATAGCCTAGGGCTCCGATCCCCTGATCCCTGATCCGTGACCCGGGGTCGGAGGATCAGCCAGAACTCGGCACAGATTGGCATTTGTTTACTCATGCGCACAACACAGTTCACAGATACAGTTAGGTACAGTACACACCAGGCGCGCTTCGTTTCATTCCGTTCCGTTCCGTTTCGCGACTCGGCAGACCAACCCATACGCAATGTGTTCGCACTCGACACCGCACGCTCCACACTCGAAACCATATACGGCCACACTGTAGCCTCAAATGATTACCTGGCCACGCTAATTCACAGCACGCACACAAACTCACTCACACACAGGACTCACACATACAGGCTCCCCTTGAAAGTTGAAAATTGAGAAGGAGGCGAATCCTTCGCTTTTTGATATAGTCAAAAGGCACCCACACCATACACTCACTCACACACATACATCCCCGCCCACCCGCACGCACACACCACACATACACACATACATACATGAACTATATTATACGCTCCAACACAGCTAACAAAAAATGATCACCAGAGGGAACTAACACCGAAGTTGATCGACTAACGCTAATCTTTATTTACTTTCCAATTGTACTAACCGACCAAAATTTAAAATTCCCCCAAATAATCGTGACAACTCTACATATATATACACATATATACATATATATATATATGTCTATGTAAATCTACCTCCCCACACACGTATATATATGATTCCAAAGTATATACATAAATATTGTTAAGAATTGATCGATCTAACCCCCTGTATACGTATATAAATCCGCTTTACTAAACCCCCCAATGGATTCAAAATAAAAAATACAACCACCGCCCACAAAAGGCGACCAAAGCAGACAACTCGATACATGAAACAATCACACCCACCCACCTCCTTTCTCCCCAAAAACCCCAAATCCCCACCTACCCACACCACCCACCACCAGCACTAAAGAACACAACAACTGAGAATATCTCAACCCAACAACTCAAGGCTTCAAGTATATAAATTTGATTGACAAACCGCTTTAAATTACGCTCTATATATAAATATATATTTGTTGCTCCTATTTATTAAACCAAAGAACACAAACACACACACAAAACACTGCGAGAAAAGGAGAAATCAGAGTAATATCTTACGCCTAGCATACCTAGAATAAATTACTTTAACTCCCGTGCGAAGCATTCAAAATTCACTAATTTTAAGTTCCGCAATTGGTGACCCAGGCAAACCGAAAATTGAAAATCGAAAAATGTATCCACCACCAATCTATTTAAGTTACCACCTAAGCACACGAAAACGCATTAAAATCTGTAGACGGAATGGAGGAGTTGGAACTGGAGTCGATGCTATTGGGCTAAAATATATAATTGCTTAAGGAACAAGTTACCAAAAACGAAAGAACTATTAAGGTCCATAAGAAGGAACCTAAAAATGAATCCAAAACCTGCAGATCCATCAACACTCCTCCAATCTGTCAACAGCCTTAAAATACAAACAACAAATAAGGACCAAGAGCAAAAATTGTAATCTAAGCCACAATGTAAATTTTACGAAATTCTAATAACATTGAGTTATCAAAAAAGAAAAGAAATAATCGAAATTTAAATCGAAACTAGAAATTACCATTAAGATTCCGGAGAGAGATGATGATGTTAAAGACAAAGGTGATTTGGCAAGGGTTTAATACTAGTGCTTTTTAAGTGACACACCCACACACAACCCCGAATCCCAAAAAAAAAAACACACACACAACCGCAAACACATACACACACAGAGACACACTAGGTACGGGAAGTCAAAGAACACACAAACCAACAACCAAATACACGAACAATGATACAGATACTGATAATATGATACTGATTTTTATGGTGATGGTGTTTTACCAAACACACACACACACACACAACACACGAGCACCCAGACACACAAACACACACACAAACAAACGAAACACTTGTCCTCCCCTCTGAACGTCTGATTTTAAATGCTCCTCCTACTATTCCTACTCCTAAATTGTAAATTACCACACACCACCGCACACTATGGTAATGAGTTAAACAAAAAAACAAACCAAACTACAACAAAACAAACCAACCAAACAAAGTACCCAAAACCAAAACTAGCCAACCAACAAGTACCTCAAACTAAACCTAAACCAAATACCAAAACCAAACAAAAGAACCCCAACAATTTTGCACACGTTGAGTATCGGTAGTGTCCATCATGCGATCAGATCGACATCGATGTCCATTTTGTACGCAGCCGCCAGGAAAGAAAGAATCGATTCTG